GTTTTTAGTTTTTGTCTGCCTTACATAGGTGTTTAGTTTTGGTGCCACGACATGATGCTGTATGTTGATTAGGAACTTTCTTTTGTAATGGATACTAACGCGAAGTACTAACTATGGAAAACCACTATACGATGAAATAAAAGTTTCGGTCAACCCAAGTAAACACTGTGTTTAGTCATTGTGTTACATCAAACATACCTCATTTAACATTGATAAAGCTTGTTTTCTTCATTCTACCTTGTCAGGAACACACATATCACATTAGATTATTTGATTAGCCAACCGAAACATTCGGCTCTCTCATGATAATAGAGACCATGTGACATCGAACGATAATTCACAAGTGCATTCAGTTTTATTATGTGCAAGAGGTAAATGTGAAGAACTCGATCAGTTGAGCAATTCTTGGAATTTATTACCGCAGTTTGGCGCGTTCTGTAAGTAAACATTCTCTTTTTATATCTTAGAATTATACTCACAATCAAGCGTTGACAAAAATGAGCGCTTGTCGACTTAGCGATCTTCTGTTACTGCCTTTTGCGTTAGCCATTACCAGAGGTTAATTTCGTTATGCCCCTCAGAAACATAGCCCCCTATAGTATTTGTATCCCCCCTTAAATCAATACTAAAACTTTATCTGTTTTACACATTTGCTGTTTATACTGCGGTTGTTGGTCAGTCAGTTGGCCACAGATATCAAGGTTTCATGAACAAATGTCCACTTAATTAATTACACCTGGTCAGGTGTTACATAGGTGGGCCAGGAGGGGCGGGACTTACCTAATTGTCTTTATATGGCCTATATTGCAGGACATAACAATTTCGTTTTCTTTATTAACCTTATGTCTTACGACACATCAGTGAGTAACATTGCATATCATTGATACAATACACATTAAATACATCAAATCACATCGAGATCCATCACAATATTGTAATACTATACATAAACAAACATTGGAGAAATATATTATATTACAATGAGTCGATTTAGCCTGATACAGAAACATGTAACACAATACTATAATTAAGTACATTAACTTACTACTGAAATATTTGTAGATATCAAATACACTCTAGCATGAAGACATTTCAAGGAGGAGAAAAGATAAGTATATTTTTTCTGTAGTCTTGAATAAATAAAACTATATAAATAAAACCATTTACAAATTTGAAAAAAATAATGGGGAACTTATCATTGGTCAGGACGAAATATTGAAGGAAATTTAATTATTTCATGAACATCTATACTCAAAACACTCTTGAAATATTGAGGTTGTAGAGTTGGAAGAATTTCTTAAAGATCATGAATTTAACATACTTAATGGTGATCAAAAAATAATATTGAAGGAGATTTGAAAGAAAATTATTTGCTCTAAAAATATGAAAAAATGATAAATCACCAGGATCAAATGGGTATACTTTTAATTTTTTAATTTTGTTTTGGCAAGACCTAAAACATGATAAGATCTCTTAATGAAGGATATAGAAATGGTTAACTGTTTGTTACACATAAACAGGGCATCATAATATGTCTTCCAAAAGTTCATAAACCAAGACAATATCTAAAAACCTTGAGACCTATCACCCTTCTTAACATAGCTTACAAATTAGCCTCTGCATGTATAGCAAACAGATTAAAATCTGTGCTTGATTTTATAATTTCTAAAACACAAACAGGATTTTTAAAGTGTAAGATACATTGTTGAAAATACAAGGTTAATTTATAACATAATGAACTATACAGAACAATATGGTATTCCTGGACAACGTGTTTTCATCGGTTTTGAAAACAACCCATTTGATTCCGTGTCCTGGGACTTTCTAAAATAATTTTTTTTTTCAACTTTGTGAACTAACATAAGGATTCAAGTTTTAGATACAAATACTTCTTCTGCTATTATACAGAATGGCTTTTTATCTAGTTTTGTTGACATGAAATGGGGTTGTAGACAAGGGAACGCTGTTTCATCTATTTCTGTAGTAGCTGAAATACTAGCCATTATGGTTAACAATAGTATAAGATTTCAAAGGCATACGAATAAATAATAAAGAACACAGGTTCTCACAGTTTGCTGACGACGCTTCATTTATTTTAAATGGCTCAAAAGCTTCATATATAAAGGAAGCGATAAACATAATAGACAAATTACTAAAGTATCTGTACGATTGTACACGTAAATAGTTTGAAACGCATATAACAAATATCTTGTTGAAATGTTTAATTTTTAGCCATTCAATATTAGAGTACTTTTATTTTTCTATGTATCTGATTTCCGGTTTAAGCTTTGGGAACTTTCGTCACATTTCGTGAACGAGAAATACATTGTCTCTTACACGGAAGCAGCCGGAAGGTCATGATTTTACGCAAAACCCTGTCTCGTCTCCTAACTGCATTAAAACTGCAAGATATGAATGTTCTTTTAATAAATGTTTAAAATTTATTATGTTCAAGTATTTGATGTTTAGATAGTTTCCAGCAAACACTTACAAGGCACAATTATCAGATAACTATCTGTGGTGAGTTTTTTTTCAGAAAAAGACAGTAATAAAAAATTCATGATAAATTCATTTAAATATATATATATTCATATATATTGATTTTCTGAATTACGATGTATAACAGAATAGTCTCAGCAGTGTTTACAATTTTATCCGCTTTTTCTACCAAGAAAAGTCAACTTTACTTAAAAACTGAAGGTTCAAAAACATTTTATGATTTGTTAAACAGAACGAAAACTGTCAGTAGCAAAGAGAAAAAAAATCAATTTGTTGTTATTTTAACACACAAACACACACACACACATATATGATTGTTTGTCTTTTTAACAGCGGGGCGCTTGGATATTGTCACGCTATGCGTTATGTTGTCGTCTTTTGTTTTGTTCTTCTTTGTCTGTCTTCATGTTGTTGCTTGTATGTGCATGACTTATTAGTCTTCAACTTTGGACATAAATATTCTGTGGACATTTCCTGTCGAGTGATATAAGAGAAACGTACCTCAAATTCAGCTTCCGGTTAGCGGTAGGAGATCAAAGTTGAAAAGTGCTATTAAGGGTACCAATCTTTGAAAAACTTCTTCTCTAGTTCTGGATGGCCTAGAGGCTTGATATTTCACATATAAGAAGCATATGTAACTGGCAACAAAGTTTGTGAAAATTGATTATAAACCTTCTGTAGACACTTCCTATTGATTAACATAAGAAAAACTTCCTTAAAAGTTCAACTTCCGGTTTTCGGTAGGGCACAAACTTGGAAAGAGCTATTTCGGGTACCAATATTTGAAAAACCTCTTCTCAAGTTCTGGAAGGCCTAGATGCTTGATATTTCATATACAGGACGGATATGTAACCGACAACAAAGTTTGATAATATAAATGACCTTGACCCACTTTCAAGGTCACAGATGTCAATTAACTAAAAATCGTTAAATGAAAGTTTCTCAATTTCTAGAAGGCATACAATGATGAAAATTGATTATAATCCTTCTGTGCAGACTTCCTAATGATTGTCATAAGGAAAACTTCCCTCAAAATGTCAACTTCCGGTTTCTTAATGGGGTCAAAGTTCAAATATACAAAATAGGGTACCAGTGTTCAACAATCTTCTTGTCAAGTTTCACAAGGTCTAGAGAACTAATATTGGGGATATATTGATCATCAGATGTTACATTATAAGGCTTGCAAATATGAATAACCTTGACCGACATTCAAGGTCACAGGGGTCAAATATGTTTGAACCTTTAAAAAGTGTATTTCTTCGTTATTATGTAGTTATATCTCCTTAACGTTTCAAGATTCAAAGTTCATCTTTGGATATGTTGTATGGACTAACAAACAAGGAACCTTTCTCATATATCGTTATCAGGATAAATGTCAACTTCCGGTCAACTTGTCGCCAAAGAAGTGAAAAGCCCGCCAAATTGTTAACAACAATTTCTAGTTATCATATGAAAACTTTATTATTTCATCTTATAAAAATCACACTTGTAAGCTTGCGAGGGGCTAACGGTCAATAATTAATATTTATTTCTTTTAGGTGAAAAAATGTAATGAGGATTATATGCTTTTTTTCTTCAAAGTGATTATTATTTTCTATGAAATAATCCTTTAACAATATGAAAGTTGTCAATAAATCATTTAACTGTTTTTAATCTATCTGTATTCAATTATAGAATATTTATCCATTTATTTATACTGAAGCTTAAAACATTCTTGATAAAAATGACTGTTGTCAATTATTAAATTTCCGTTTATTTAAATAAATATTTCTCATGTTTTTGTCCGTTTTCCTCCTCAAATTTTATACCATACTTACATTTTACTTATTCATTTAAGAAAAGATTTTTGTTGCAAATAAATCTTGATAGCTTTAAATGACAGTAATATATAAAAATCAAAATGACACATAATGATCAAATTGTTCTATATCAACAATTACTTACCGAATAGGTAGGGCTGAGAGTAAACAGAATCATTTGGTTTTTTGTTGCTTGAAATTATACGATTTATCTGTGAATTCAGACCTTCACGAATCGAACATCTTCATAAAATCGTCCAAATAAACTCAAGAAAATATACGTTTTGATAGAATTCTCACCAGAGAAATTAATGGTGCATTTTATTTCCACTTGCAATGAAGATGACCAGGCATTTGGAATGAATGTATGCATAAATGATTCTTCTCAATGACATCTGCAATAGACAAGAGGCATTTTAACTATGTAGAATTAAATAGGCTGACAGCTATTTTTAAAATGTGATAATACTTTGGTTACTATAGATTTGAATGCTAAGTAACATTTGTGAAGCGCATACTAAGGTAATTCAGATAATTATCCACCCGCATATTTTTTTAATTCTTGTTCATATGTTCGTGAAAGTTTGAAGTTTAATGAAGATTTTGTTTACATGTCGGTCTTTCTCCTTAAAATGATAATGAATTACTTATATCGTAGACTTTGAATTTCGTCACTCTTTCTGTTAAAGTTATTCCTCCAGAATGATCCGTACAAGCTCCAAAGGGATGATGGTTACTGTGATAGTAGTGACGGCAATTTTACTGGTGGTTTGGCGACGCCATACTCCTTCACCGTCTGTTCCGGTAAAAGACAAGAACACTCTTAATGAAGAACTTGTAAGTATATATAGTACCTATAAGTTTTTTGTTCCTTAGCATGCCATTTGTACCATTCGCCTACTAGGTGTATCATATGTTTTACTAACAAGGTCAAGTGTAGGTTTATTACAGACAAAACGGTAGCATTGGTTAATGTTATAACATAACTCATCTGCAATAAATGTGTTTCAAAGGAGACTAGGTTGGAGCTTATAATAGCTCACTTGGCCTTTCGAACGTACACTTATTCATTTACATTGTATTCTTCTCGATATTGCCATCAATGGCTATTACTTGACTGGTTTGACCAGTATTTACTTGGCGGATGTCGTCGATGAAGCAGAATGCGATGACTTTTCCGGAACACCTTGACTTATTAATATTTTTTTGCTGTTCAGGAGTCTCTGCGCATATTTTGTTGAATTTCAGTTTGGAAAATTATTTTGTTGACATTTTGGTTTATCCTTCAGTGTGTCCGAATGAATTATCTAGAAAAGTATGCCAAGATGATTATGGTCAAGGGTGTTGAAAATAACATGCCCAACTTTTTCATAAATGACCAGGGGTATGCTAGGGTAATGGACTACCTAGTGTGTTGAAATGAATGACACACTCGCCCTCTTCTAACCCCTGGAGTTTTTTTTATGAAATTGAAGAAAATATGTCATTTTACTTCAACATGGAATTTCACCCTTTCCCAGCCAACTTTTTGGTGAGCAACCCCTATAGAAATATATAGAAACATGGGAATACACGTTTTTTAAAAAAATCTTTTGAAAAAAATCAGGTTGTATCAATAATGATGCTACCAAAGCATTTTGAATATTTAAAAATATCTTAATTTCATATCATTAGCAAATGTTTTTGATGATAGATGGAGAAAAAAATATTTCCAAACTTCATAGTTAACATAAGGATATGTAAATGTCAGAAATGTACTTATTCACGGTTGTTTCCATGGCAAACAGCTCGTTTTTCAAATAGAACATGTTGTTAAACTTGGAAAATTTCATTTCTGTCTGCCCAAATTTCATTACATAAGAAAAAGTTTGTATAACAAAATAAGTGGTTTAGTCAACCACCAGAATATAAAACAGGAATCTGAAAAATTTCAGAGAAATCAATTTCTTTTTGCATTTTAAAATTGCCATGGCAACAAAATTGCATTTAAATCTGTCAGCTTTACATAGCGAATGTATATATTGTTCCAACATTTATACAACCTGTGTCATATTTGTAACCATGTCATCCCCGTTATACCCTTGAAAGCCATACAATGATTGGATGGCTGGTTACAGGTAGTTCGTCTTCACGACTCTTCAAATCACCAGACTTAGTCTCATTGACGAACGGCAGTGTTCTGGCGACGTGTTGAGAAAATGTACAGTTGCCATTTTAAAATGACTGTCTACCAACTTAAAAATAGTACAGATCTACAACAGAAAGTGCAACCATTAATCAACACCATTATAGATACATCGAACGATTTCTATATAGAGTAAATAACTGTGAACATCCGAACATTTGCCCGGAATACCCCACCCCTACACTTCATGCATGAACATGTTCCTCTTCAATGAGTGTTGGATTCGTTCTTAACTGATTTAACCCTTAGCTCTCTGGAAATTTTGATGAAAATAGGAAAAATCTGACATTTTACTTCAATATGAATTTCCACACATTTCCAGCCTTTTTGGTAAGCAACCCCTATATATTTAGAAACATGCTAATATAACCTTTTAAAGTTTTTGACAAAAATAATGTTTTATCAATAATGGTGTTACCATAGGAACCAGACGTTTAAATATTTGAAATGAAGAATAACTCTACTGTGTAGTTTTGTAGTAATAAAATCCATTCCAGCTTTCTTGTATAAGTGTAGTTTAATGAGGGTATGGATGAGGGGAGAAAAATATGCTCATGCTAGGGCTTTCATTTATATTTAATAACAGATAGAGGTCAGATGGGTGGACCATATTTAGCCTGATATTAAATCTGATGGTACAAACAAGTGTTACATAAGTTACATAATGCACCAGCAGACAGATGAGCACTGCCACACCGACCACACACAATTCACAGGGCCCTATTTATGCGGATCTGTTTAGACATGTTGCATTAGCTGTAAATCAACAAACACAACCCAAAAGTTGTTCTGCATTTTCTCCAAATTTATCAGATGTAATCAGTAGATCAATACCTCCACACGTGAGGGGGATAGGGCTATTTTCCCAACACCGACCTCACAATACGTAGAGATGCGTAGTTGGGAGTTGAGGGATTAAGGTCACTGGAGTCAATGTATAAAAACAGCTTATGAACTTATCTAATAGCAAAATGTTCAAGGGATGTTTGGGGTCTACAGTGACAAGAATGTTTTGTTCGCTTGGATTATTGCCCTGTTAACATCTACGCTAATTTTTGATGGGTCACCTTGTAGTAGCTGTAGTAGCTGGTGTCTGGCTTTAACATAAGTGAATGACGGGTCATTCATATAATAAATGGCAAGTTATCTTACCAATAGACATACACACGCGTCCTACTGCACAGCATACGATGAATCGATTTTATAGCTGTGTACACTCAAACTACAAACTTTGCCAGTAAGGGGATAACTTTCGTAATTTTCAATGCATTTCAGGAACAAAAAGTCATAACATGAAATCGTGTAATCAAATACATGATTTGTTTGTAGGATCAAAATATTCGAAGGGAAACTGATCCATGCATAATGAATTCAACAAAAAGGTTTGTGTACAACTTTGATACGGACTTTTATCTACTACCAAGCAAAGCCGAGATGTGTGCCATGACGACAGGGGACTTGGAAAAACTTTATCAAATGTGAGTTCTACCGCTGTTGTACTTCCATTCATGTGTTTATAACCTTAAATGAGTTAATAATTCATCTTATTTTTTAAAAATAGTTCGCAAATATATGACGCCTACGTCTCTTGAAACAATTTGTATCGTTTTTTGTATCATTGATAATGAAATGCTACAGGTAACGAGCACACTTAAAATGCTTATTAACTCTGTGTCGTGCACTAGATATGGAGTCTCTTCATTACTCCTAGATTCTGACAGAACATTGATTAAAAAACTATTAGGATGATGCTTCTGTTCTGTAATTCATACTGTCGATGTTGATTGGACCCAAACAAACTTCAGTTACAAAACAAACATAAAAACAGAAAGACAGACAAACAGACAGACAGACCAAAACAACACGAAAACACCAGCATGGCAACAGAATAAGAATCCAAACTCAAATTCCATCAAACTAGGGCAATATATGAACAAAAATATTTACACGGAGCCTCCTGAACAAGTACAAGGAGAATAAGTCAAACTATCCCGGAAGAATCCAAGTTAGTTGTGTCACGTTCCCATATGAGACGCTAATTTACAACAACAGAGTCAACAAACAAACTGACGAGGATCAAACGCATCAAGCAACAGAGAAATAGAATATTTCCCAAGGAGATCACCATGACGACAGTTAAACTTTCCGATCATTTTCCTCAACGTGCATCTTCTGTAAAACTGTGTTGTTAGTTTGTCAATTGTAATTATCTTGTGTGAAAGTCGAGATATCGGGAACATGCTTTAAACAATACACCAAGATATATGACATCTTCAGTGAAAAATCGCCGATGCTATGTTTCGGATAAGTGATGTTTTCATCATATGTTCGACGGCCAACGTTTTTTTCTTTAAAGAAAATATATTCTATTCACTCACTCCATGTAATTTCAATTAAAACACAAATACTATCGACTGTTCGTGTCTTTATATATGTACATGTATATAATATTCTGTGTAGACAACTTGGTATATGGTCATCTCTAAATCTAGTTTCATGTTTGTTCAACGTCAAGTAGATAATATTTATATTCATTGATATGATACAGAACAGGAATACAGCAAGCATTGAGCAGCAATTGTTTAATTCATAAGGAGTGAATTTTAATTGATAGGTACCTAAACACAATCCAGGTGATCTGCCGTAGACCTATCCGACTCGGGAACAGGAATGATGGAGGGTGGGATCTGTGTGCTGATAAACAATTTCTGACACCTGGAAAATGTCGGGTATACTCGTTTGGGTAAGGATCACGTAAACAGTTAACTTTCATAATAATATCCTCATATACTATAGAAGTGTAGTCACCATGTATTCATATCTCAGATTTTACGAACTAAGATAGATATGAAATTGTTCTATAAATGAACGTAGAATCGAAAAACAAAGTAATAAAAAAGATTTAAAAATTCAAGATAGCATCGATACAGATATGTGCTAGTTATCTCCCTTATAAGATTCCAATGTATTGTATTAGCTGCTGTCATGATCACAATCAAAATTAAATAAACAAATTTCATTAAGATATATCTTTACTCATGTAGCTTTCAATATACTTTTGTAAATGAAGTTAAATCTGATGTCTGTTATTTCACAATACTAGACGGGGTCAAATTGACACTCAATCCACATCATGGATATTACGATGAGATGACTGATCGGTTTAAGATAGCACTGGATATTGTTATTGTAAACAGGAGTGGTTATAATTAAAAAAAAGATTTGTTGAATATCAGTTTTTCTTATATATCTGTAGATCCATTATGACTTCAAAATGCGATTTCTACCTTTTCAGAATTAATTATGATTTCACATTTGATGATGCAGTGGCTGAAGAGTTTAATTGTGAAGTCCATTCCTTTGATCCCAGGTATGCCTGAGATTTTTTTCCTTTCGGGTTTGAGCAATGGGGGTCTAAAAAGGGAATACATTGGGAACCAACGGTAAGACTTGCTGAGTGTTTCGCGACTAAATCTATCCATGATGAGAATAGCATAGGAGGAAATTTAAGAAGAATGAACCTATTGACCTGCTGTGAGATTGCATTAACGACAGTGCTATTAGTAGTTTTAGAATACAAATTAAAAAACGAATTGATCAAATATATTTAAAAACAAATTGTTCATTATATTGAAATTTGCTTCATACTTTGAATAGTTTTTCATAGCTTATCTTTTTGGGAAAAAAAATTGAAGCATGGGGAATGGTCACTACAAAATGGTGTAGATACACCAGCATTGTTCTATAAAGTTTTGGTTCATATTTAAGATAAAATCAATGGACCTGGCACTGTTAGTCGCATTTCATTTATAAGACTAAATTAATCGTTTAAGAAGGAATCTATGTTTTTGTTTCCTTCGTTGTCTCTATATATAGGCCCTTAGCAGCACTGACGTGTCTTTCAAGCAGTTAAGTTTTACTGCTATGTATCTGACTCCAACTTTGTATGAAGCGTCCTATTACAAATGTATGTTGTGTGTATTTTGTACAATTTTCTGCAAACAGAAAAAAAAGTGTTTTGTTCCCTGTCTCATGGCTGACAATCACGTACTATGCTGTTTTGACAGGTCTATAGCGCAATTATGTATAAATTGAATTAGAGTCGAGCCAGATGAGAAATGCAGGTTTTGTTTGTTTTTACAGTATGAACCAGAAAAGCTACAAGAGGAGATCTGAACCGCTCGTGTACTTCCACGACATCGGTATTGCTAGCAAGTCTGGTACAATAATGACAGACAAAGAATGGCAGATGTTAAACCTGAAGGATGTGATGGCAAAACTAGGTCATGAAAGTGTAAGTAGTTGTGAATATTCGATATTTACTCTCTTCCACATATTAAGTACACTTGTACGTATAATTACTACAGTATGATACATGTAACAGTAATATTTTCTATGAATGTCATTGACTATACTATCATCACTATTATGATATTAAAATTGTTTATGTGTAATTTTCTAGAGAATAGCTGATCTATTTATCATAAAAAGCAAACGTAAATCATAGATACATTTGAAATACTTTGAATTAAGTAGACTATTTTTTTTTTCAATTTTGTTGACCTTCAAATGACAATTAGTCGATGTGAATTGTATTTTATGCCTTTCATTGAGATTGCATTACTTATAAACATGTATATGTAATTAAATAAAAATCACATTAATTCAATTTAATTAAAAAAGTAATTATTAATTTAATGCCATTTTTCAGATTCCAGATGTTATTAAGTTAGACATTGAATTCTGGGAATGGGACGTCTTACCCGATATTCTGAGATCTAGACAACTACCCAAACAACTTGCAATAGAGTTTCATCTTTGGAATGCAAAGCATGCTAGTAGTAAAACGTTCTGGCTTCACCGCTTGTGGATCCTTAAAGAATTATATGATTCTGGTTATAGGACTTTCTGGCTGAACAGAAACTTACAATGTTCATTCAAATCAAATGTAACTTCTAATTACATATACGCTTGTCTTGAAGTTTCTTACGTTAAAATTGAGCAGGACATTAGAGTATAGAAGATTTATTATGAAGATAAAGAATAAGTAATGTTCTTGTTTGTGGTACAAAATAATCGGTTTCAATTCTTTTAATACAAATATTTCTGCGTTCTAATAAGAAAGATATTTTTACTTTAGAAAAGAACATCTGTTTAACAAGCATACCTATGAATCTTAAAACTATATCAAGGAAGACAAAGGGGGCACAAGATATGTAATGAGACGAAAGCTACCTCACAAAGGAAATGGGCTGGTATTTTTGATATTCAAGACCAATTATGGAAAAAGATTCAAAACTACTAAAAGTTCTAAATTAAGATGGCTTCAGTTTCGTATTAATTATAGAATGTTAACTACTAACACACTTCTATATAGAACGGGTGTAAAACAGCATTTAAATTGTTTTTTTTTTTGCAAAATAATAACCAGAAACTATTGAACATCTGTTTTGAGATTGTGAGAAAGTAAGTCACATTTTGAGGGAGCTAAAACGTTATCTCGCAACTAATAACATTAATTTAAATTTTGATAAACGGGAATTTGTCTTTGAACATTATAATTCTGATGAAGTTGATCTGATAATTGATAACCTTATTATGTTATTAATTAAACAATATATATTTAAATCAAAATGTTTAGAAATGGAACTTTAAACATAAAACATGCAAAAATAATTTAGAGTTGCAAAGTAAAGTAGGAAAATGACTTCTTTATAATGTTATGCACATCATTGCTGTACTTTTACTTTTTACAGACAAAAATATTATATTCATATGTCAGAGGTTTGCTATCCCCCCTCCCCCCGGTGTGTATCTCTGGTGTGTGTAAATTTACAGGTGTGCAAGTGTAGTCTAATAGTATGAATGTTGGTCACCATTGTTTTCTAAACAATATCTGGAAAATTCTTTCTTGTATTACTACAATATTCATATATTGTTGTGTTTGTCAATTAGTCAGTAGGAGTAGATGACCGAAAGGATTTCAATTTAAAAGGCGAAAAGTGTAATAAAATATAAAATTGGTTTGAGCCGTTTAACGGTATATTCTTTTATTCTATATTAATGTTAATATGTACATAGCATGGCCTTACATAACCCTTATTGATTCTTAGGTGGAAAGGCCAAACATTGTTAAACATAATTTAAATCACAAGAGAAGATTTGTACTTACTTTTGTTGTTGTACTCGTATTCAATGTCTGTTTATGTTGTATACTGTCTGTAAATGTTTTGGCTATGTAAAATGAAAATTGAATAAAAAAATATTTCTGCGTTCTGTTGTCGTACATTATCAAAACTTAGTACAGATAAGCAGCAAAAATACTATACACATGTGTAGCAGTTTCACTCATACTTTTAAATCAGTTTCCCGCAACACAAATAACCATTCCCAGTAATTGCGTGCATCATTTCCCTTCTGTACTGTATTGTCAACTGACCGTGACGAGGACGCTTGATCGCAAACCGTTCTTTTCTGTAATTTTCTACGTCATCCAGTAACTTAGTGTAACCATTTTACGGTTGGATGATATCATCAATATCAACGCATATTTCATGGATCATTGACGATGATGCGATGTAAAAAGTTCAAGATAACAACTTTTTATAAATCTAAGAAGAAAAAACAACTACAAAGAAATATTCATTATAATCTTAACTCAAAACTCTAAATAGATTAAATTAGTGTAAAATATAGTTCCATTTTACCACCAGTTTCTTCCTTAGTGTTCAAGTTGAGACGCCCAACAAAAAGTAATCCTGGTAGATATTAATGAAATATTTACGTTCTTTGTTGTATTCGCCTATATATCATTAATACGACAAATTGTTTAATATGAGAATGTATACTATTTACAGTTAATCAATCAGTGATGGAATTAATAATTCTAGATGGCTCCTAAGTAAACAAAACTGGCCACTTTAACAGATATACCCGCAGTTGTTAAAGAGTCATTCACAAGAAATAGGTATATTTCCAAAGTTATCAAATCATAACATATTAAATCCATTGTCAAACGCAAAATAATTAACATCGCAGTAACGTACTAGATGACCAAGTTTGGCAATTACTGGCTACAGTAGACGTCGATCTGACAGTCCAGGTTACAAATGTAGAATGCTTTACAAACAAGATGTCGTCAATTACGGACAGGATATTCTTTTATTGTTAAATACAGTGGTTTTTGTATTTGTAAAAAGTATATCAATCCGCTTTTCGACACGAAAATTGCCAAATTCCTCAGGAAAACTAGACACATCGTTATATGAAATCTGACCGAGAACCGCATCACTTTTTAATGAAATATCAAAGCGCTATAAACTGCTTTTATTTCAAGTGAACGAAAAAAAAATCAGATAATATAATCATGTAGAAAGTGCAAGTATGCAATTGTATATCCATAATGAAGTTAAAGTAGGATATCATATATTTCATACAATTGCTGTTCATGATGACATGAGGAACTATATCATTACGGCTGTTCTCGGATGATTATTTTGCATTATTGTATCTAACATTCTGAACTTGTAGTAAAGGTGCAAATCACTTGTGTCTTTTGTACAATTTTATATGACTGGGAATATAATAATGGTAGATTCGATCGTTCTGTGGGAGGATGTCACATAAAGAGCACACGCAGAGCTTGAAGTAAAAGAACATGTAGTTCATTCTCTCTGGTCTTATTCGATATCAGAACTAAACATCGGCAGACTATTCTCACATACATAATAAGCGAAACAAGAATAAAACCCGATATATAGATTTGTATGGTGAACCTAATATGTACAATAAGGGATATCAATTTAATATCATATGAAAAATTCAAATACAACATCTTTCTGATCATGAATTTTTCACATAATTTTCAGTTCAGAAAAAACGACCCATGTTTATATACAATTGATTTACCTTTACCCAAACGTCTTTCATAACAAATTTAAACAAAACCAAATTATAACTACCAGAGAAGTAGGATTTTAAATAATTTTCTCTACTTTCCCTTTTAGCGCCACGCCAAAGGAACAGAGGCCTACCGTTATACAAAATTGATTTCCTTTCATTCATACATGCTTTTGACCAAAGGAGGAGTGCCAATTTGGGCCTTCTGGCGGCCATGACCGATATTTTTTATTTCTTGTGTAGGAATTCCTTGGGGTTAGGCGGTCATGATATGACATAAAATTAAGGTCAGATCTGAGCCATTCATTAGTTATGGGGGTAGGGGGGGGGGGGGGGGGGTAAAGTGGGGGGTAAAATTCATAAACAGCTCCATTATGACAAACCTACATTATATTTTTGGATTTTTCCTTCTTAATTTTCATGTAATAATCCATATCAAAACATTCATTAGTAAAATTGATTGAAAAAAATATTTGAAAAGTAGGTCATGGTAATTAAGCTCATTAATTGCGAATTATATTAAAGATGAACTTAATTTTCTGCCTTAATGTACATAAAAACAATACCTTTATCATGTACCATGTTTTAATAAGAAATATTTTTGCATACTTTAAAGAAAACAAAGAAGAGGCGGTGCTTTGAATTTTAGTTCGACAACTTTGACCATATGTCTGTATCTAGTGGTTTTACCGAAGTATTAACACAGAAATGGCTAATGAAAGATATCAATCTTAACCTCTAGTGTTGCATTTCACTCCACTATACATACAATGGTCGTACACATAGTTAGTTACTCATTGTCACTGTCAGACTCAGACCAGTCCTCAATCATCATTGCGTCATCAGCACAGCTGAGGTAGCTTGATGAGGCAGTTGGGTGTGCTATCCTAGGCTGGTGTCGCTCATAAGAAAGGTACCAGAGAACAGATGCAATATGGGCACAGCAGCCCACTACCCTGGCACCAACCTTACACTGGCAATACCAACCAGATATAGGAGTCAAACCAGGGGAATACTCAATCCACAGGTTGTACAGTTTCGAAGCAACATGTCTGGAACGAATCTGAACTTTAATTAAGCCAGGCTTTTCCCTGCATGCCATTAATTCATACTGGCCATCTTCAGACAAGTGCTCCATGGTATATGACTTTGCCTGCTTCAACTGATATACTCCCATGGTAAGATCTCTCAACTCCGGTTCTGTCAGCTGAGGAAAGTCAGGCAAACTGGCCTCATCAAGCTTGACCCATATGGCTCTTTTCCTAGCCAAACCTTCTTTTTCAACTTGAATTTGCAATTTATTGGGACATTTTGACAGAGCCAACATTCGCTCAGCAATGATGAGGTCATTGGGAGAATCAGAGGCAAGTGGGGGGCGAAAAGCATTACAAATTGCACACACAATTCTCACAAAATCACCTACAACTGGAATGAGAGTGTTGGGCAAAACATGTCCCAAGGTCTTCCACTGCTTAATCCGCCCATTTGCCGACTCCACAACCCACCTTACCTTTGTTACAAGACGAGATTCGTTTGCCTTAGTATGTGTGTGTTGTTTCTGCCCCTTTGGCAAGAAAAATGGCATTTCTGTTTTGATGCCAGCATCATTCAACAGTTCTGTCACATCTCTGAAGCCTCTGTCAACGACAAGAACATCATCATCTTGAAACCAATCCTTGATGTTCTCAGTGTTAGTTTTCAACATGTGTTTTGTAATGTTGGCGTCATTATTTCGACCGTCTGCTAAATATGGGCCTAGGACAGACAGTATATAGCCATCTGAGGCCACAAGAAGCATTGGTTTCAGGAGAGGGCGTCCTTTGTGCATCGAAAAAGAGCGTCGTTGGAAAGTATAGTTGCTGGACTTTTCAACATAAATATATGTGCCATCAGCAACAGCTATAGCGACATCTTCACCAGAGGCAAACATCTTCCTTGCAAATACCGTTGTATGGTTTTGAATTACTTGTTCTCTAGTGATGTGTTGCAGGCCAAGGTGTGAAGGAACGAAGTGGGTCATCAATGCTTGGCGAGCTGAATGAATACATTTTCCACATTTCTCTTTGTCATGTTGAACAGAGAAGCTAATATTGATAAAGACATGCCAGTCCTCAACTTTAC